GTAAACATGATGGGCAAGGAGGTTTCCCCGCCTGCCCCTCTCCCACGAAGGCCTCTCTTTCCTCCTCCACCCAAATGCTCCCCTCAGGAACAGGCTGGGTGCAGGATAATCCATGAACCTCAGTGCCCTTAGAACTCACCCCAAAATACCCTCTGGGCACCAAGGCTTAAAGTGTCAATTTTGGCCTTGGGGTCCCCAATAACCCAGCATGATATGCCCCTGGACATCATCTCCCTCTAGACTGAGAAGATAACCCCGGAGCCACAGAACAACGCTGCAGCCAGAGGGCTCTCAGGATCCTAAGACCCTAAGATGCTCTAGTCCTGTGACTCGACCTCGTAAACCCAAGCCTCTTTGGGAAAACATTCAAATCTTCTGCAAGCTGCATCACAGAATGTTTCAGCAAGTTTCACCTTCTATAATGTTGCCCATCCTGCAAAAACAAAACAAGCGAAATAAAACCTCCCCCAGGGAGCCGTGCTGCCACAACTGAAAACTGTCCCTCTAACCCCTTTAACTGTACAGTTGCTAATCTTGCAACTCAGACAGAAGGTTCTTTCCTAATAACAGATTAAAGTTCACTGAGCATGTACTATGTGCCAGGCATTTTCCTACCTAGTTTACATGATTCATTCATATAATGTAGCCAATAATCTTTGAGTAGGTACCATTACTCCCCCTTTCACTGACAAGAAAACTGAGACTCAGAGAGGTGAAGTCAAGGTCACAGGTCTATTAAATGAGAAGCTGGCACATAAACCCAGGCAGCCCGGCTCCAGAGCCGGTGTTTCCAACCATTGCTCTACATACCGCAGGGCCATACAGCACCTGAAGGTCAGCACTGGAACCCAGGCCCAGGGTTTCCTCCATCTACTGAGCGCCCTGCCAATACATCAAAAGGATAGGACAACAGAGTTCACTCCTGGCTCCTAGACAACATCAATATATTTTCACAGTGGCTGTCAAGCCCACCAGGGTGATCAGAAATCCAGGCCTCCCACCAGCCAGCTGGTGGAGGCCATTTGGAAGCCCCTCAGCTCAACTCAGACAAGTAGCCCCTTCCCCTGCCCACCCCCTCACTGCTCCCTCTTCTTCTGTGGCATTCTCGTGCCCATGCCCTCCCTTGCCCCGTACCTTAAACAGGGAACCAGAGGCCCCTCCAGGCTGCCAGGATCCAAGGAAGGGGGCAGAAATGTCCCGCACAGTGGGAGGCAACCTCAGGCTGGGAAGAGTTCTTCCTAAAATCACTCAATAAAACAAGGCAGTCTGTCTCCTGGACAGGTAATGGTATCTATTGAGTACCTTCTGTATGCACTGCATTGGTCTTACCCTAATGTTCTTTCTAATCTTGAGCAAATCACTTGGTCCTTTTGTGACTCATTGCTGTCATCTCTAAAATGACTAATAATAGCAGCAAGGACTAAATTAGAAAATGTAGGTGTAAAAAAAACCAAACAAGTTCAGATAAAGCCCTCCACACATGCGAGTGTAACACCCCCCCCACACACACACACACCTCTGATTGAGTTGGTCATTCTGGATCTCTAAGTAGAACTGTATTGAGTTATGTCCACACCCTTATCCCTGCACCCACATCCAAGTAAGAAGAGAAAAATCCAGGTGAATCGTCCGTCTCTAATCCCTGGCTCTGAAATAGGTTAGATCTGAGGTATCTGAGGTTATACCGGCCACTCGGCTTGCAGAGTCTTTGACATTTGGGATTCTTCACCCCGGGGGGGGGGGGAGAGAAAGCTGCACATTCAGGGGCCCTCCAGGGAATGCTGCCAGATGTGGAGGAAATTTGCTTGCTCACTGGCCTGTGTAAATTCATATGATACTTGGTGTAAAGGACCCAGCATAGCAGTGTGTAGATACCTGAGTTACAGTCCTGCCTCTAACTTCTCTTTCCCTGAACCTCAGTTTTCTCATCTGTAAAATGGGGTGGAGGAGGTCCCAGCACCCTTCCAGTCCAACATTCCTTTGCAGGCTTGCCCTACCCCTTTGCCAGGTCTCCAGACTCTTCCTCTTCTTGCCTCTTCCTGCTCCCTTTTTGTGCTCAACGCCCACCCATCTCTTCTTGTTCAAGAGTCTCGGAAACCTGTCATTCCAGGAAGTGCCACGAGGGGGAGCCTTCATTTGGCTGCCTGGGGTCAGGAGGGACACCAACTGAAGTGTAAGGCTGCAGAGTCAGCCAGTCCCAAGGGACCCCACCAAGACCCAGACAAAAATAGAAGGTTGGGGGGGCCTAGGGAAGGGGCTCTAAGCTACAAAGACCATGCTGTAAGCTCTTGAAGGACTGTGACCTTGCTTTATGCGTTAATTCTTGTCCCTCAGTCAAACACTTTGTGTATTGTGAGGTTATCCCACTTGACACCTGGTTTAATTCATGAGTCATGCAGGCAGGTGGAATTATCTGTCACCTTTACAGTTGGGAAAACTGAGGCTCAGAGAGGTCCCAGGCTCACCTAGGGTCACATAGGCAACAGGGAGCAGAGCTGTTGACGGCCCAGCTCTTGCTCTGCACGTCCTGGCCTCCCCCAGGGCCTTGCCCCAAGCTGGGCACACCAGGGACCTTCAGGGACACTTCTTGAGTGAATGAATAAGTGGGCCCTGTGCATCAGGTGGCAACGTCCCTGGGGTGAACCTTCTCTGCCTTGTGCTGGTCCACTCAGACACAGAGCTAAAGACACTTCAGTCCCACTGTCTACCTTTCCCTCTCACCTTCCGGAATCACGTTCATCTCTCACCATGAGACTCTCAAAGCTGGGGGACTTTCACTGGCTCCAACTCACTTGAACAGGTGAGGAAAGTAAGGCCCAGAAAGAGAAAGTGACCAGCTCATCCCTTCAACTGTTTACTGAGTGCCAATCTGCGTGAAGCCCTGTTCTAAGGTCTGGGACTTTTTGAGAAAGCCTCTGCCTTCACTGTGCCTACAATCTAGGAGGAGGAGACAGACACTCAGCGGGGAAATATGCAGCACTTTAGTTAGTGGTAAGTGCAGCTAAGGAAAAGAGAGCATGGCAAGGGAGGCGGAGAGTCGGGGGTGTGCACAGGGTGGGGGTATTGGTCTGAGAAGGCCTCAGCAAAGTGAGAGGGAGAGCTGTAGGAATCCTGAGGGACTAGGAAGTGCAAAGGCCCTGGGGCAGGGGTGTGCTGGCCTGCCTGGGGAGCAGTGAGGAGGAAGGGGTGGGAGGGAAGGGCAGAGAGGTGATCAGATCACTAGGGTCTCATAAGAAACCTTTTCTCTGAGTGAGATGAACAGCCGTTGGAGGATTTTGAGCAGAAGAGGAACACACACTGACTTTGGTTTTAAAAAGATAATTCTGGCTGAGCACGGTGGCTCACACCTGTAATCCTAGCACATTGAAAGGCCAAAAATGGGAGGACTGCTTGAGGCCAGGAGTTCAAGACCAGCCTAAGCAAGAGTGAGACCCTGTCTCTAGAAAAAAAAAAAAAAAAAATAGCCGGCCATGATGGCATGTGCTTATAGTCCCAGCTACTCAGGAAGCTGAGGAGAGAGGATTGCTTGAGCACAGGAGTTTGAGGTTGTAGTGAGCTATGATGACACCACAGCACTTTAGCCTGGGAGACAGAGCAAGAATACCCTGTCTTAAAAAGATAACCCTGGCTACTCCGTTGAGAACAGAGAGGAAGGACGAGGGATGCAGAGGGACAAGTTAGGAGGTGTTGCAATATTCCAGCAAGAGAAGATGGTGGCTCGGAACAGCGAGCTAAGTAGGCAGGTGGTGAAGAGTAGCAGATTCTGGACATTTTGAAGACAAAATGAGCCAGATTTGCCAAGGCACTTAGATGAATAATGGCAGAAAAAGAGGAGCTGAGAATAACTCCGAGATTTTCTTCCCCAGCAACTGGGAAGATGAAGTTGCCCTTTTCTGAGATGAAGAAGACTGACAGGTGCAGGCCTGGGGGAAAAATCAGAATTTGGAAGTCGAGTTTGGGGTGCCTGCTGGATGTTCAGGTGGAAATAGGGAGCTGGATTTATGGGTCTGGAGGTCGGGAGAGGGATTCACGGCAGAGCTAAGAGAAGGAACCCAAATTCTCAAGTCTCCCGACTCCCAGCAGAGTTCTTTCCCTAGTGTGGAGAGTACTCTCTCTCCGGCTGGAGAAGTTAAAAGCCTGCGCTCAAAACCCAGGGCGCAAGGAGAGGAAATACGGTAACCCCGCGCGCGCCCCCAGCCCCAGCTCCCCCCGCCCCAGAGCCCCGAGCTGGGAGGCGGGAGGAGAGGGGCCGCGCCGCCGGGAGGGGCGGGCCAGCCCGGAGCACGCGGGCGAGGCCGAGGGGCCAAAGGCTCGGCAAGCTTCGGATCGGGCGAGCGGGGGCTGCTCCGGCGCAGGGGCGGATCTCCGCCGGGGTCTGGGTTTCTTCTCTCGGCAACGGTCCTGACTGTTTCCTTGAGCCACCGTCAGATATTTGTTTAACCTCGCAGTTCAGCCTCCCGGGGGCCTGCGGGGAGCGATGGAGGCAGGGCGGACGAGGCTGGCGGAGAAGGGGGGCGGGAGGGGAAACGTTTTCCTCCCGGGGCACAGGCGGCGGCTGCCTAGCTCCCGCGTGGAGCCCCACCCCGGGCCCCAGACCTGCGGAGACCCGCCAGCCCCTTGGAGTCCAAGTGTCAGCGTGGGAATTGGGGGACCACAGTAGTGTACCCACCTCGATCTAAAGCCCAGGAAACCGAGGGGAGGGGTAATTCGCCCAAGGTCCGAGGGTGAGTATGGACGGTGCCAGACTCCACGGGTCCCTCGATCTCTGTGGGTCAAATGAGCACCAGAGACCCCGTGGTGTCGCAGGACCTGAGTCCTGTGCGAAGTCATATTTACCATCCTTGCGACAGAACTAGACGCTGCACCTCTCCGTGCCTCAGTTTCCTCGTCGGTAAAGGGCATCACTCTTGAGCTGCCTTTTTGTTGTTGGAGACAGTACACACACACACACACACACACACACACACACACACACACACACACAGTCCAACGCCCGCTGCCAACTGCCGAGCCCCAGTGGGCCTGGCGCAGCCCTGGACACCCCGCACAGGGCCTCGTGTCGCGCCAGCCGCGTAAACCCGCGGTTCCCCAGCCGGTGAGGAAGGGGTTAGAGGGAGGCGCGGCGGGGAGGCCAGAACCCGGCTCTCTCGAGCTAGAAAGGAGCCCCCCACCACAAAGCGGTGGCGCCCGCCCCTAGGCCCTGGGGTCAGTGCTGCGGGCACGGGGGAAGGGAAGCTGGGGGCCAGGGGGAGCGGAAGTCCCTGCTCCTAGGCCCCACTTCCCCTCCCCGACCCCTCCCTCGGCCTGCCCAGGGGCAGGTGAAGAGGGGACCGGGCTGCGCTCCAGGTGGCGGGGCAGCGACGGGGGTGGGGAAAGGCCCGGCAACAATAGCACTTTTATTTGGGACTGTTTGGTTCTGAGCGGGTGGGCGGAGGAGGAGGAGGCCGACTGGGCTGCAGGGGAGGGGCTGGTCAGCGGCATCTGGCTACACACCTGCTCCCGCTTAACCCTGTGCGTGCCGGGGCGCCCGCCCAGCGGGGGAGGGCTCGCAGACGGCCGAAGAAGAGACCCAGGCCGCGGGACGGCCAGCCTCCGGGGGCCCTGGCCAGGCCTGGCGGTCTCGGAGCGCGCGGGGCTGAGGATCCCCGGCGCACAGCGTCCCCCCTAACCTTCGCTGTACCCCTCGACCTGCACTGGCCCCTTAGGCGCGGCGCGCGGCTCCTGGGTCTGACTCCCGCGCGCCAGCGGGGCTCGGGCGGGAGAGGGAAGGCGAGGCGTGGCTCCTGGGCCTCTGCGCGGACTCCCCGCCGCCCTCCGGCCGTTCCGGGAAGCCGGCCTTCCGGAGGCGGCGCAGCGGCTTCAGCTATGCCAAGGGCGCGGGGCGCGGGCCAGGCCCAGCGGGCGGCCGCCAGGCGGGGGAGCTAGCGCCGGGCGCGCCCTCCCGCACTAAACGCTTCCAGGCGCAGCGCTGCAGGTGAGCCGGGGCGCCCGGCGCACCCACCCCGGGCCCTGGCCTCGCCGACGCTCCCTGCCGGTGGGGCGCCCGCCGTGGCCGCCCAGCCCTGCGCTGCACCTGCCCGCGCCGGCCCCCCGCCCGCGCCGCTCCCACCCCGGTCCCGGGGCTGGCGCGCTCGCCCGCCGCACAATCGGAGCTTGTTTGTGGGCGGAGGAGCCGAGCCGGGTGCGGCGGCCCAGCGCCAGCCCACTGATCCCATAAAATATTATTTGTGTTTAAAAATTCCAGTAATTGGCTATGCAGCCGCTTTTTCCGAGCCCCGTGCCAAGCGCAGTAAAATCGCAGTCCGGCTGGGGTTATTTTCATCATGCAAATTCCCATTTCTGTAAACAGGGTTAAAGCCCCTGGAAGGTGCCGGGCTGGAACCAGAGAAGGAAAGCAGAGGATGGAGGTGTTCTCTGAGTCTGGGAGTTGGTCAAGCTGGCCTCCTCTCCTGAGATCACCCGGTCACTGGGGAGTGTTATTCAGATGATTTCCCCAACGCTTTTTCTTGAAGACCAGCGCCTGGACTCCACTGGGTAAAATCCTTCATTTCCTTAACTTTCCCCTTCCCCTTCCCCAACTGAATAACTTACACCATTAAGTCATGGAATTATAATTCTTTTCTCCTTTTTTATCTCTAGAGCAAACTGAGGCCCAGAGAGGGGAAGAGACTTGCCTAAGGTCATACAGTGAGTTTGTGCCTGACTGCCCGGCCATCAGGACCCCTGGAGGGGTGGGGAGAGGAGGAGGCTGGAGCAGGTGGCCAGGCCAGCCAGGCCAGGAGGCTCCAGGGCCTGACTTTGGGATGCTGACGGCTGGCACAATGACTGGGGAAGGCTCCCTCTCCAAACATACCCACTTCCTGTCCCTGGAACTGCCTGGAAAGGAGAAGGGAGTCCCCGCCAGGGCCTTGGAAACCCTGAGTAATGGACAGGGAGCCTCTGCCCTGCTCCACCCAGGGATGGCTGCTGTCTGCCACAGGGAGCCACTGAGAAGAGGAACCACACACATGGGAGGGACAGATTTTTTTTTAAACAGAGGCAGAATTGGGATCCAGATTCTGGAGCTGAAAGGAAAATTGGGGCTCAAAAAAGAGTTAATATTCTATGATATACAATATATTATTGCTACAGTGTATTGAGTGCACAGTATGTGGAGGCACTACTTCACTATTTGTCTCATTTAATCCCCACAAGCCTAGGAGGTGGGTACTAAAATTATACCCACTTTCCAGATGAAGATACTGAGGCTCCAGCTGATGAAGTCACTTGCCCAGAGTTGCCAGAAAGAAAAGGCCTTTCTTTGGGGACTTCTGTGAATGGAAGACCTCTAGGTTTCCTTCATTCCCTCAACAACCCCAAGCTTTTGTACCAGCCAAGCCTCCTCCTGTCTCCCTCCACTTCCCCAGTGGCCCTTTGTGCTGGAGACTCTTGTGCCCTGGATGTTCCTCCTCCCTCCTATACTCCGTCTTCTCTCTCCTCTCCCCTTCTTGGAACCCTAGGTTCTCCAGCCCCAGAGGCGGCCGGTTGTGGAGCTTTTTGGTAAAAAAAACAACAAACAACTTCTTTTTCCAAAAGTGGTTGTGTGCTCCGTGGTGCCTCCTCTGTGTCCATCCAAAAACATACACACACACGCACACAAACCAAAACAGGAGTCAGGCTGTGGCTCAATAGAAGGCAGACATTCCGAGTGGTTTGGGATTATTTCACAGCTGAGCCGGCGGCCTGGGAGGCACTGAGCCTCCCGTCACTGCGACAGTCCCAGCACAGGCTGGAGACTCCCTGTGCAATGGTGGTGCCACAGACAGTCCCTGCACCCTCTCTGGCTCGCTTGCTCAGAGATGGATTTCAGCCCTAGGACCCCAGCTGCACTGCTGCAGACGCGCTCGTTGGGATCACAGTGAATTCCGTTAGAGTGCGAGCCTCTTGGCAAGCTCTGAGCAGAAACACCAGCAAGGTGGCCGACACCAAGGCAGAAGGAGAAAGGCCCCTCAGCGGGGGCTGGCGGGAGGACCGCTTCCTGGGGTGGGGGGAGATACACTAGGGGAGGTGAGGGAAGGAGGGGTCCTTGTCAAGAAAGGAAAATGAAAATGGAAAACAGTGCCTGGTGGATTCTGAAGGGCACTTACAGTGCACAACTCTAGCGTGGAAAAGGCTAAGAGAAAGCCAGTACCCAGAGTCCCAGGAAGTGTCCTGGACTCTAGCAGGTGACCCCAGAGGGCTCACCTCCCCCTTAGGGCTCACCTCGGCCCCTGGCTTTCCTAGCTTCAGCTTTCCCCACTGCCCAGGTGGGCCTTGAGTGTGCCTGTTCGGGTGAGGGCCCTCCCCGTAAAGCTCTGCACAGCAAGCCGCTGCCAGGGCCTGGACTTGGGTTTGGGAGCCTCCGGCGATACGAAGGATGCCCCTTCCTGCCCATTCCCCGCCCACTCCAGGCCCTGATACCCGGCTTCCCAGCACCCATCATGAGGATTTTAAAGTGGGCAACTGCCTGACCCCTCAGGGAAGGAAAGGGCTCCCAAAATGACCCAAGGGGTCCGTGTGTGGCACGGAGGATCTGGGGGAGATTTGGGTGCAGTGAACTTCCAGAGAGTTCACCCAGGCCAGGTTTGGTGAAGCCACAATGGCTCCCTGGGGTGTGTGACCCACAAGTATGACGTCACAGTGGGATTTGGAGGTGTGGCTGGCACCTTTGAGTTCATTTCTTTTTGAACCTTGAAGGACTCCAGGCACCTCTCCATCCCAGCCCTCTCTCTCCCCTTTTCTCAGCCCAGAAAGGGGAGGATGGGATGGGGCAGGTCCCACGACCTTTCATCCATTTGACAAGTGAACTTGGAGATCCTTCTCAAGGACAGGCACAAGCAGAGATGACCACAAGTCCAAATCTGTAAGGAAACGCCAGTTAGAAAGAAAGCTATGCATTTTTAAAACCCACCATGGTGCGATAAGGATTTCAATCAGCGTACTTTACATGCTAGGTGCAAAGCATGTGGTCTCGACCATCACAGAGGAGCAAGGGACTAAGGGGACCTAAACGAGGAATGCTCCAAGGTGAAGAATGGCTGAGGCTTTGAGCGGGCTTTGCACAACTGGTAGAAATTTTATCAGCAGAGAGGGGGCTGGCAAAGTGTTCCAGGTGGTGGGAACAGCATTCAAACAGCCTGGAATAGCCAGGGCTAACGCAGGGACCTGGGATGGGAGTGTTATTGGGGAGATGTGGGAGGAGATGGGGGGGGTTCTGACTCCTCTCCCAAACCCAAGATGTCCTCTCAATCGGGATCCCCTTCCTGGTCTGAGGTCCCCCCTCCTCTCTCACTTCTTTTTCTTTAAGAGGAAAGGGGGGTGAGCCCTGTCTCCGCACCTGTGTGCGAGATCCCATCAGTGGAGGACGTTTGTGGCGAAGAGGAGGAGGAGGAAGAAGAAACAGGGTGTGTGTGGCAGTGCGTTGCTCTTGCTTTCACCCTCATGCGCTGTCTCTCTCTCCCTGATTCCCACGCTGGCATCCTGGCCCCCTGCCTCTTCTCCAAGACCCTTCAGTCGCTGCCTCTTAATGCACATCTCTGCCATTGCCTCATCTCTCGGTCTGCCTTTCCACCCTGATCGGAGTCTCCCTTGTCCCCTTGCTCAGGAACGAGACACTCCTCCAAGTGCCCAGGCAGGAGTCGGAGTGGGGGCTGATGGCCTGGCCCAGGTACTCCCGAGAGCAGGCTCCGTGGTGGGAAGACATATATTTCTCCTTGCCCCCCCTCCCTGCGACCTGCCTCTGTAATTGCAGCCTGATGACAAAGGTGATGCTCCGCCGCCAGCGCCGGCCCATCCTGCCCCCCCGGTCCACCCTTCAAACCCTCCCCTCCCTGTCCTCCAAAGAGGAGCTCATCTCTTTGAGGGACCAGCCTCAGATGAAGCCTCCATCAGTTTCCCACGTGAAGACCACCAAGGCAGAGCCAAAGCTTCCAACTAAGGCCAGGCCCCAGGTCTCTCTTAAGAGGCCCAGTGCCTCCCAGGCCCCGCGACAGCTGGCCCCAGTGGCAGTGTGGCCTCCAGTTGTTATCAAACCTCCCGTCAAGACCTTACCTCTCAAAAGCCAACACGCACCCTCTGCCAAGGAGGCCTCCCACTCACCAGGTGCCACCCCTCTACCCCACCTTTCTCCAAAATAAATATTTTTGTTAGATCAGCAATAGTCTACCACTTTCTTCTGCCCCAAAAGAGAGAGAAGAAAGACACAATCTGAGGCATTTTCATTTGCATTATTTCATTTAATCTTCACAATATCCCTAAAAAGTTGAAAATATGTCAAATTTTGTAGATAAGGAAACTGAAGTTCAGAGAAGATAAGTTACTTGCCAAAGTGGGAGAGCACAATGACATCATCCTCCAGGCCTGCAGTCCCCGGTCCCCCCCCACACACACACACACAACCCCCTGCTCCATGGCCTGTTAGGAACTGGCCGAGAATCTGTATCTGCGGCCACTCCCCATCCCTCACATCAGCACATGGGCTCCGCCTCCTGTCAGACCAGCAGCGGCCTTAGATTCTCGCAGGAGCAGGAACCCTGCTGAAAACTGCACAGGCCAGGGATCCGGGTTGTGGGCTCCTTATGAGAATCTAATGCCTGATGAACTGAGGCGGAGCTGAGACGGCGATGCTGACGCTGGGGAGCGGCTGGAGATATGGATTATCGTTTGCAGAGAGGTTTGACTGCACAGAGACCATCATAAATCAATTGCTTGCAGACTCGTATCCAAACCCTATCAGTGAGTGGCAAGTGACAATGCAATAATAATAGAAATAAAGTGCACAATAAATGTAATGCATTTGAATCATCCCCAAATCATCGCCGCCACCACCACCCCACCCCCATCCATGGAAAAATTATCACCCATGAAAGTGGTCCTCGGTGCCAAACAAGTTGGGGACTGCTGCTTTAGGCAGATCAATGGCAATACGATGGACAAGAGGCAGGGAACTTGCAAGACCTTGAATTCTATTAATTCAAGGCACCCATCATATCTTTCAGCTTTCCTTTGATTGACAACTTGGGGCCAACTGTCCCTGTCTCCACAGTGAAATTCTATCGCCTCCCCTTTCCTGTGATGCTCAGGCCAAAACAAGCATCTACATAAAGTATCTACATAAAGGTACATGCACTCTCCACCCCTGCCCTCAATTCTCCTGCCCAAGATTTGTATCATGCAATGTAGATGTTTTCTCTCCTGGTATTTCCATGACCTTCTTCAACACTTAGTCCATAACCAATCGCAATATGGAGGCCTAATTTGAATCCAGCCACACAATTGAAAATTTGAACACTGACCAGATATTTGTTGATATTAAAGACTTAACTTTTTAATAATAGACCCTTATTTAGAACAGTTTTAGGTTTACAAAAAGCTGAGAAAATAGTACAGCGAGTTCCCATATACCTTGCACCCAGCTTCCCCTGTTGCTAACATCTTACCTTAGTATGGTACATTTGTTACAGTTAATGAACCAATATGGATACATTGTTATTAATTGAAGCCCCTAGTTAATTCAGAGTTCCTTAGTTTTAACCTAGTGTCTTTTCTTTGGTTCTAGGATCCCAGCCAGGACACCACAGGACATTTAGTTATGGTGTCTCCTCAGGCTCCTCTGTGCTGTGACCATTTCTTAGACTTTCCTTATTTTTGACGACCTTGACAGTTTCAAGGAGCACTGGCCAGGTATCTTGTAGCATGTTTCTCTGTTGGAGTTTGATGTTTTTCTCATGACTAGACTAGGGTTATGGGTTTTAGGGATGAAGATTGCAGAGGTAAAGTGCCATTTGTGTCACACCATATGTAGGGTATGTGACTATTGATGTGGGCCTTGAACACGTGGCTTAAATAGTGTTTCTCAACTCTCTTCACTGCAAAGTTGGTCTTTCCCACCACCCCTGTCCATACTGTCCTATTTGGAGGGAAGTCACCATGCTCAGCCCGCATGACTTAAGTGCTGGGGAGTCATGCCCTCCCTCCTTGAGGGCAGAGTAGCTGCATAAATTATTTGGATTTCTTCTGCATGAGAGATTTCTCTCTCTTCTCCCCCATTTATTTATTTATTCAATTATTTATATCAGCATGGACTCAGGGATATTTATTTTATGCTTTGGGTAATAATCCAATACTAGTATATTTATTTTGGTGCTCAAATTGTTCCAGCTTTAGCCATTGGGAGCTATTTCAATCAGCTCCTGTGTCCTTTTGACTTACTCCCATCAATGTGGGGGTTTTGTTTTTGGCTTTTGTTTTGTTTTGCTTTAAGCACTTGCATACTTTCTGGCACTATATGACACTCCAAACTTGTCTTGCACATTTTCTGCCCTAGTGCTGGAAGCAGCCATTTCTCCAAGCAGCCCCGGCTCCTTTTCTTGGAAACCTAGATCTAGGTGCTAGGTGTGCTTGTTGCTGTTGGAGTTAATGCCTTAATTCTAATTTGTTTAAATGTGATAATGGTATTGAAATTATTTTTAAACAGTTCTTACCTGTTTTAGATGCATAAGAAATGTTTATGGGCCAGGCGCAGTGGCTCATGCCTGTAATCCTAGCTCTGGGAGGCTGAGGCGGGAGGATTGCTCGAGCTCAGGAGTTCGAGACCACCCTGAGCAAGAGCGAGACCCTGTCTCTACTAAAAATAGAAAAAAATTAGCCAGTCAACTAAAAAATGAAACAACAACAACAAAAAATTAGCCAGGTGTGGTGGTGCATGCCTGTAGTCCCAGCTACTAGGGAGGCTGAGGCAGAAAGATTGCTTGAGCCCAGGAGTTTGAGGTTGCTGTGAGCTAGGCTGATGCCACGGCACTCACTCTAGCCTGGGCAACAAAGCAAGACTCTGTTGAAAGAAAGAAAGAGAAAGAAAGAAAGAAAGAAAGAAAGAAAGAGAAAGAAAGAAAGAAAGAAAGAAAGAAAGAAAGAAAGAAAGAAAGAAAAAGAAAGATTGATTTATGGCTGAAATAATATTAGTATAATGTCTGTGATTTTCTTCAAAATAATATGAGGAGAGATAGGGGAATATAGGAGAAACAAGATTGGCCATGAATGGCTCATGGTTGAGGCTAGGGGAGGGGAGACATAGAAGCCGTTTATACCATTCCATCTACTTTAGTGTATGCTTAAAGTTTCTAGAGTGAAAATGTTTAAATATTAGATAAAAACTCTGTCCCACTCACCTCCTCTACAAGGTGTTCTTGGCTGCTCCCATGTTCTGGTGTCTGCTCTCACTCCTGCTGGCCTTGTCACCCTTTCTTTGTTGGAGGGCTGCTCTGTCGTCTTCCCAGGCCTTTGCTCACACCTGGGGCCGGCCCCCCTGCTGCCTGAGGCTGGGGGAATCGCGCACTGGTGCACCGTCCCACAGTGGTTCACCGTCGCGCAGGGTGCACTGTCCCGCAGGGTGCACTGTCCCGCAGGGGTGCACTGTCGCACAGGGGTGCACTGTCGCACAGGGGTGCACTGTCGCGCAGGGTGCACTGTCGCGCAGGGTGCACTGTCCCGCAGGGGTGCACTGTCGCACAGGGGTGCACTGTCCCGCAGGGGTGCACTGTCGCGCAGGGGTGCACTGTCCCGCAGGGGTGCACTGTCTGCAAGGGGTGCACTGTCCCGCAGGGGTGCACTGTCCCGCAGGGGTGCACTGTCGCACAGGGGTGCACTGTCCCGCAGGGGTGCACTGTCGCGCAGGGGTGCACTGTCCCGCAGGGGTGCACTGTCCCGCAGGGGTGCACTGTCGTGCAGGGTGCACTGTCCCGCAGGGGTGCACTGTCCCGCAGGGGTGCACTGTCGTGCAGGGTGCACTGTCCTGCAGGGTGCACTGTCCCACAAGGGTGCACTGTTGCTCAGGGTGCACTGTCGTGCAGGGTGCACTGTCCCGCAGGGGTGCACTGTCGTGCAGGGTGCACTGTCCCGCAGGGTGCACTGTCCCACAAGGGTGCACTGTTGCTCAGGGTGCACTGTCGTGCAGGGTGCACTGTCGCACAGGGGTGCACTGTCGCACAGGGGTGCACTGTCCCGCAGGGGTGCACTGTCGCGCAGGGGTGCACTGTCCCGCAGGGGTGCACTGTCCCGCAGGGTGCACTGTCCCGCAGGGGTGCACTGTGCCGCAGGGGTGCACTGTCCCGCAGGGGTGCACTGTGCCGCAGGGGTGCACTGTCGTGCAGGGCGCACTGTCCCGCAGGGGTGCACTGTCCCGCAGGGTGCACTTTCGTGCAGGGTGCACTGTCCCGCAGGGGTGCACTGTCCCGCAGGGGTGCACTGTCCCGCAGTGGTGCACTGTCGTGCAGGGTGCACTGTCCCGCAGGGGTGCACTGTCCCGCAGGGGTGCACTGTCGTGCAGGGTGCACTGTCCCGTAGGGGTGCACTGTCCCGCAGGGGTGCACTGTCGCGCAGGGTGCACTGTCGTGCAGGGTGCACTGTCCCACAGGGGTGCACTGTCGCGCAGGGTGCACTGTCACGCAGGGTGCACTGTCCCTCAGTGGTTCAGTGTCATGCAGTGGTTCACTGTCGCGCAGGGTGCACTGTCCCACCATGGTGCACTGTCGCTGAGTGGTGCACTGTCCCACAGTGGTGTGCTGTCGCTGAGTGGTGCACTGTCCCGCAGTGGTGCGCTGTCCCGCAGTGTTGCGCTGTCCCGCAGTGGTGCGCTGTCGCACTGTCGCTCAGTGTTGCACTGTCGCTCAGTTGTGCACTGTCCCGCAGTGGTGCGCTGTCCCGCAGGGGTGCACTGTCCCACCATGGTGCACTGTCCCGCAGTGGTGCACTGTCCCGCAGGGGTGCACTGTCCCGCAGGGGTGCGCTGTCGCTGAGTGGTGCGCTGTCCCGCAGTGGTGAACTGTCCCGCAGGGGTGCACTGTCGCTCAGTGGTGCCCTGTCCCGCAGGGGTGCGCTGTCGCTGAGTGGTGGGCTGCCCCGCAGGGGTGCACTGTCGCTCAGTGGTGCGCTGTCCCGCAGTGGTGCACTTGGTGCACTGTTGCCGAGTGGTGCGCTGTCCCACAGGGGTGAGCTGTCCCGCAGGGGTGCGCTGTCCCGCAGGGGTGCACTGTCGCTCAGTGGTGCGCTGTCCCGCAGTGGTGCACTGTTGCTGAGTGGTGCACTGTTGCTGAGTGGTGCGCTGTCCCACAGGGGTGCACTGTCACTGAGTGGTGCGCTGTCCCACAGGGGTGCACTGTCGCTGAGTGGTGCACTGTCGCTGAGTGGTGCGCTGTCCCACAGGGGTGCATTGTCCCGCAGGGGTGCACTGTC